GGGGTGGGGTCGGCAGGGGAGCAGCGCGTGCAGGGGACCGATAGCTGTGACTTGACAATGCCATGGTGCCTCTGCATGCGCATGCTGATTTCGTTCTGATTCAAATGCAGCCAGCCGGCCGCGGCGAAGGCCCGACGGTTCCGACATTGACGGGGGACGGCGCTCCGCCTGGCGCAGCAGAATGAGTGCCCCGCCCTCGCCGCCTGCCCCCGCTGCTGCCGAATTCGGGGTCACCTGCGCCGACTCTCCTCTGTAAAAGGCGCCGCCCGGGGTGAACGCCACCCCGCGCTCCTCCAGGACCAGCCACCGGGCGGCGGCCGCGCGGCGCCCCCGTGCGTTGGACGCGGCCTTGGGCGGCGGCCCCGCCTCGGGGGCCGCGCTGGCGCCGGCGGGCGCGGCGGACGCGAGCGCGCGGAGCTGGTGCCGCCGCGCGCCGTGGAGAGCGGCGCAGCGGCGAGCTGTGTGCGCCGACATGCGTCCGTTGACGGCGCAGGGCCTCTGCATTCCAGCAGCCTCTGTAGGGAAATCAAAACTTATAGGTGCAGGCCTTCTTTTTCCATCAAGCAGCGTGGTAATATAGTCGGGTCCCACACGCTTCTGCAGTGTAATTCTGCTGCTTGACGACTAGTGATGTCGAGTGCACTTCAAACAAACCAGTGCCACTTTCGGTTTATAATTGATCGTCCCGCTTGTTTGTTCACTCGCACTGCTGCTGACAGCGATCTCGGGTGTGCAGTGTCATTTCTCCTGGGAGCCATGCGCGCGATATCGCGATAGTATGCCATTTAATGGTCGCTTACTTACGTGGATGAGGCGAGCCGAGTGATGGATCGGGAGCTCCGCACCTATCAGCTCGATGGGCGCCTGGGCAGCTCATGGGTGAGCGTCAATGGCAAAGAAGAAGCCACGAATATCATCCTTAGCGCCCCTTGCAGTGCGCTGGGATGTGACGCGGCTGACGGGGCATGCCCCTGGCCGTGGCACCGCACTGATATGCGCAATCCGCAGCATGCTCGCCGCCAACCGCGCCCGCGCCGCCCCTCCCTCGTGTTCGCGCCGCCGCAGCGCCCGCCCTTTACTGAGGCCCTGGCCAGGAAGCTGCAGGTGGAGCGCGTGCTGCATGGCCACAGCGGCTGCGTCAACCGTGTCGCATGGAACCAGGACGGCAGCATGCTGGCCTCGGCGTCTGACGATTTGAGGGTAAGACTGGTGAATTCAAATAATACGAGTGGAGTTTATGCAAATGGGGGGCCTGGAATGTCAGATGCCGCTGCGCTTTGGAACTGGCAACGTTGAGCACCCCAGCAGGGGCCGCCCAGAGAGGCCCCCGCAGCTGCGGCGTCGGCGCGCATGCATGCGCCTCCGCGCCGCCTTTCCGGGGCGGGGGGCGCCAGGGCGGGGCGTGCTTGAAGCTTGCGAGCGCTCTGCTTTTACCCATGCTGCGGGGCAGTGCCTCGCGGGCGCCAGCGAGGATACGGCGTCAGCAGTCAGGTTTGGGGGTTGCCCACAGGTCGCTGCAGCTGGCCTCAGCCGCCCCTCCCCCTGCCCCCACCCAGGCAACCCCCTTTCGCACGCTCAACACACACACACACACCTGCACCCTCACTTCAACCTCACGCCTTGTCGTCCTTGTACATGCATCTGAAAACCTGCCCCCTCTGCCTCTCCGTATTCCACAAAACAGGCCCTCCTGTGGTGGCCCTCAGATGCAGATCGCGTCCCCTTGGCGCTAGAGACGCAGCACCGCGCCAACCTTTTCGGGGTCCAATTCCTGCCCCACACAAACAACACCAAGATCGTCACCGGCGCCATGGACTGCACAGTCCAGCTGCACGAACTGGACTGCAGCCCCTCCTCGCTGCCGCCGGCCTGGCGGCAGTCCGGGGGCGGCGGCGGGCGCGGCGGCGGCGCAAACGGGGCGGGCGCGGGCCACGGGGCGCCGCGGCGGCACGCGGGGGCGGCGGCGGCGAGCCAGGTCAGATCGGTGCAGCCGCGGACCACCACGTTTTGCTGCCACACCAATAGGGTCAAGGTGAGGCGGGGCCCGCAGCCGCGGCGGCGAGGGCGCTGGCGCGGCACGCGACGCATGGGGGCGGGGGGGCGCGGTCGACGGGCCGCAGCAGAGCGGGCGGGGGCGGCGTGCTTCTGAGGCGGCGTGGCCCCGCGCTCGAGTCGCCGAG